ACCGAAAGGTTAAGGGTCGCTTCCATAGAAAAGTGGCTTGGGTTCGAATCCCAGCAATAAAAAGGTTTCATAGTGTAGGTGGTTATCACACCAGACTTTGAATCTGGTGACCCGAGTTCGAATCTCGGTGAGACCTTTGGGGGTGTAGCTCAAATGGTAGAGCGCTCGGTTTGCATCCGAGAGGCAATGGGATCAATGCCCATCTCCTCCAAGATGGTCTTATAGTGTAGTGGTTATCACGTGACGTTTACATCGTCAAGGTCCCCAGTTCGATCCTGGGTGAGATCATTTTTGCTCCTTCTCTTCTTACGAAACCATTTTATATAGTTAAATAGACTCTCACAATATAATCTGGTTAAGTTTCAGTAATTATGGATAGTTGTGATGTAATAATAGATGTATATTTTTATACCATTAACAAGGATAATTTATTAACACAAAGTAAATTATCAGCGATCTGTTCGTAGGTAACGATAAGGTTCTACCTGCAAATCATGCGTACTGATTTTCCAACCTGCTTTACGCAATTTCTGAATAAATTCCGTTTTTTCCAAGTAGCTTAATGCATTACTCTCACTCATACCATTCTTCATCAATAAGATACCAAAAAAATACTGCAACACCATTTCATCTGTAGTATTCTCTTGTATAATCATTCGATACGTGGAATCGTCTATTTATTAGCGCGAATTACACAAACCTGGAAAGATGTGGATGCTTTTGTCTACTTCTTTTGATATTCTATGAAAATCTTCTTGTCTAATAGAGCATCCAAGCTTAATGCTATTATAACCAATCAAAGGCTTTAACAATTGCTCATTTGTTGCAACTTCATTGAAGCTTAAGATGGTGCGATCATTGACAAAATAAGAAATTAAAATCTCCCCTCTCTGCTTATTAATTGACTTGAGGATAACAGATTTAACCGCTAAGTAATTAAAAAGTAAATGTAAGGGAATGAATATCCCCAACAAAACCCAAGTTTGATACATTTGGTACTGTTCACATATCTCTGTTTGTCCCTGTAGCATTTTGCAATCTTGAAATAGTAACTGTATCATTAACTCTCACACAAAGTTGACAAGAAAGCAATTCTATGTATTATTGGGACTAAATGTAAGCTAGATTACCAACGCGCTCAGGTTAGGATAATTAAATGAAGATACTTAATCGGCTGAGATTTAAATTCTTGAGAATTTCGTATTTTTGAGTCCTAATAAGTAAATAGCTTATTACCCAAACAGAAACACAAAATCATTTTACTATTAAAAGGTTATTTAGAATTGTATTTTTAACCCTTATCTATTGTCCTAAAGACGCTATCATATTGTTATTTAGCAGTAATGCCAATCGAATCGCGTCACTGCTGAAAAATTTACATCGAAAAACTGTTACACTTAGCTTATTAATACATGATAAGCTGTATTCTTGTGACATTGATTTCATTGGTTTTCGGATTAACACCAAATGGAACTAACAAACTTCGACTTGGAATAAGTTTAGGATATCCGTCATTCGAAAGTAACCACCTTTTCCGTGTCACTTATATCAACGCTATATACTTACGCATAAAGCAATTGAATGAAAATTCTCCATTGCTTGGTAATGATACAACTCTTGAACCAGTGTTTCTGGATACAAAACTGGATAGAATCACAACTATTGTCAAAGGATTAGAAGCAGATGAGAAAAATATCGTTGCAGTGATAGGATCGGGTCGTAGCTATTTATCAACGTTATCATCCTTGGTTCTACAAAACTATCGGATTCCTCAATGTTGCGGTTCTTCAACTGACCCAAGTTTATCGGATAAGCTACAATATCCAAATTTTTTTCGAACTATTCCTACTGATAATTCACAAGCTGCTGCTATGATTGGATACGCGGTTGCATCAGGCTGGACAAAGATTGCAATTAT